TAATGAATAAGCCAAAATCAGCTGTTGGTGTGTTGTGTGCAATGGCAGACACTGCGCCGCGTTTGTCTGACTCGCCCGAAAATCCTTATCGCCGTTTTTTCGCCATTTAGCTCGTCCGACCCCCCTTTTCCCTTGTTTTTTGTAGCTGTCTATTTCTTTATATTCAACTTTTTTCGCGTTTTCTTTATTACCATTTTACTGTTGTAGGCCGTATCTAAAATTTTTTGTCAAATTTCGCCAAAAAACCGGATACCCCAAAATTAACGTGAGCTGTGCCTTTAATTGTTCCATATGCCTACTGGCATGTCTGTTAATAAATGAATAAATAAATTTACTATGCGGTTTTTTGTCAGTTCTGTGTTCTCGACACTATTGTAATCCTAATCCTAGTTGTAATTTCCTTTTTATTATTTTAGTTTCCTAGACTCTCCACACATTGGTTCGGTTTCACCAAGTAGCATTTCTTATGCATGGATATTGCTGAGCTGACTGACGTACGCTTATTTTCCTCCTAAGTTATTGACATTCATCCCAGCAAACAGGGCGCCCACCCGGTAATGCGGTACTTTTCCTCCTGGCTGAGGAAAGCTTCACAATGTAAAGTTTAATGTGCTTGCATAATATGGGTAAAATTTTTCTTCGAGGCGAGTCCCTGCTCTACTTTTTTGAGCTCCTTATACGATACCGGGACAATTGGTGTACTGCTGCAGTGGATGCAAGCGAGGCGGCGGTAGTGAGCGTTGCATGACTGAGCTGCTTTCTTGTTGGTATGATACTTAGATCGCGGAAGGGTCTAACTTCGTTGGCGTCAGAAGCGCCGACAAACATTTACTACTCGGCCGTAATTTTGGAGGGTTGGAAAGCAAATTTTCCAACTTTCGTGAATAAATTTTAGAATATTTTTAGAAGGCCTGCAGGCTGAACCTCTTTGCTGTGGTGGCGGATGGTGACCACCAACGAGACGAGCAGCTTTACGTCATCCAAGGAGTGATGGCGAACTTTGTGGATGCCCCCCCCCCCTACTTTTTGCTATTATAACAAGGCAACAAATGTTTCCAAATTCAACTCAATGATTTTTTTAGGTTTTCCTTTTGGAAAGAGTCAGTGCGTTTACGACGCCGTTTATAGGCGACTGAGGAACGCCATCGCTGCAGTTGCGGGATTACGGCGCTTTTGCATCCTTCTAGACTATGAAAGAGTCGCTGTTAGCGTGCTTATGAGGTGTTTCCTAAGTGCACAAGTAGAAGTTTTTCACTTCGCGCAAACCTGGATCAGTAAAAAGTATTTTCTTGGGTTACGCTCTCAGAAAAACAAGCCTCAACAGTGTGGGCGCATTCAAAATTGGCGGTCTTAATTGGAGGGTTAGTTTTTCTCTACCAGAACTGCACCCACAAGTCCCGGCACTGTTTATCCCTAGAGATCAAGGTGTCCACGACAATATTTACTTAATAACTGGTACGATGGTGCATATAGAGATATGTGGTACAAATGGGGCGTAAGAATGCTATTCATATAGAAAATAGCTTAATAAACAATTCGTATAGAAAAATAGCGATTTTAACGGATCGCTATTTTCCTATATGAATTGTTTATTAAGTGGGCGGGGTTTAGGGTTGAGGGGCTGAACTTCTTCTTAACTTCTTCTTCGATTTTTATTTATCCATTCATCAAGTTAAAGGGTGACTGCATTCAATTTCAATTTCATTCCAATTCATTTTTCACCGGTAAGTCAAACCGCTCTTATCTATGGAATTTTAGGGTAATTGCAACGCGTAAGAACCTGAAGAATGGAGGATGATGTTCAATAGACAACAAGAAGACGATGAAGAAAACCCGTTACTCGTCAACTACAACCTGCTGGAACAGGCGATACTCAACAAGCTGGACAGACTAAAGGATCAAACCGCGGAACGGGGAATCGACATCGATCCGGGTTCGAGCCCCGGATCGATATCTGACCGAGTTCTTCCGGTCGGATAATCGGCGCTAAACTTGTCTGTTAAGATGAGAGCATGGTACGATTGTGAATGGAAGTGCACATCCCATGGGATTGATTATTTTCATGACCTCATATATGGGAGACATTGCTGAGAATGTTATTGCTCAGAAGTAATCAGAGACAGAGCTGTTCGGACGTTTTCTGCTCAATTATTTCATGTCATGTCCGTCAGTGAACAAATTTGAGTATGGGATTTGTACCGAAAAGCTGCCTTTCCAAATGCTTTACCCTTTTCATGTTTATCAAACTTGGTGAATTTTCCTACGAGCCCTCCAGTACGATGTTACGAAGAAGTTTTTGGGTGATGCTCCCCTTTTGAAGTTCGCCACTCACTAAGCCGTTTTCGAATCTATGATAAGAAGTTGTATTTAAACTATTATGACCACATCACAGCCCCTATCAGCTGTTTGACTCCGTTGGCTGCTTTCACAGTACACGTTTTGGCCCGCGACCGGTCGCGGGCCAAAACGGAAACCGTGGACTTTGAAAGCAGCCACGGTCTTCTTCAAACTAAGTTCCCGCGACGAAAAACCCCACGTACTTTTCTTTCTATTGAAGAATTTTTTCTAAACTTCTTCTCCGCGGTAACCTCAACCTTACCTCTCAACCATTCACGGATGTGAGCGAATTTTTTTTGAAAGGGGTGCTCCAATACAAAAAATAGCTAAAAGTCATACAAAATTACAGGAGGCAAATGCAGCGTATGTGATATGCATAAAGGCCAGATATGAAGGGGTGTTATTAGCTTGAACGATGGTGTAAAGAGTAACATCGACGGCAATCAAAATAATTTTTACTCGAGATCTGACCTGCAGACCTGCTACTCCGAGTTCTTGCCTATACCGTCTACTAACATATACCTCTCCTCAGTGGCCAATCGGCCAAAATGCTCATCCCCATTTCCAGAGTTTTACCGAGCATTTTGCTGACTGTGCGTCCCATGCAATTTCTTCTGCTTTTGGGTGTTTCCCAGTTGGCTGCTGCTGAATCAGTTTTCGACTAAGATAGTTTTCTTGAAGTCAACAACTACTTGACTTGCTCAACGGTCAGATGCCGAATGTTTATTAATTAGAAAAAATAATAAACGAATAAACGAAGGAACACAGATCTCATAACTAACGGAGAAAAATAATCGCAAAAAAAGTAGAGGTGGCTATTGGGTAGTGAAAGAGCAAATCTTTCTGAATGTGAAACCCATATTTTGCCAAATTCGAACAAAATTCATCCAACTACGTTAAATAAATTTCCAGAGAGCATGAAAATGAAGATGACGATGACGATGACGACAACGATGAAAAAAGATGTAAAACGGGTATTGTTCTGAGTTGCACGTAATTATCATGACCCCGTCAAGCGAAATCCGTATGACAACATTGAGTTGCCCAATTGGGGAAGAAGCAAATTAATCAGCAATTACAAATACATACTAGTAATAATAGCGTTAAAAAACTATGACAAAATTGAAGTTATCAGAAAAAAAACAAAATAAAATATTTATGTTTACAACGCGTACGGAGAGCCCACTTCTTTAACCCCACACAACTATTGGCCGACTGTTCACACTTCACTTTGAAAAGTGTTTCCGTAATTGAAAAGATAGGTATCGATCGATACTTAAATAAGGTGCTGTAGAGTACAATCGTATAAACTAGTAGCATTGCATCGAAAACACCATGAAAAGCTTTCAAAACTTGTCAATGTTATGTGAAAAGTAATTCGATTATTTCTCACATTCAAATAGAACCATGAGCGATCAACAATCAGTCAACAACGAGCAAAACTATATACATATACATAAATCTACAGAATTTCGAAGAGTGGAGGAGAAACAGAAAGAAAAGGAAGGAGAGGACGGGCATCGATAATATTACAAGCAGCTATTGAAAAATTGAAAATCAAAGGAGAAATATATCACAAAATAGATTTCAGGTGTGCAGCGAAAGATGGAAAATGTACTACACTGAGGTGTTCAGAATATAAGAGGGCAGTTGTCAAAGGAGGACGACGATACAACCACGCTTACGACAACGACGACGATCAAACGACCGTATAGTCCATTTATCGTCGTGGCACGGAAAAGTGAGTTAAGAATGGGGCAAAAGGCGCGTATACTGATGGCATACGCCATGACACAAAAGTTTGCTTGCAACGGCTTGGATTGAAAGGTACGAAGCAGAGGATTTACTAATTCATTATCCAGGAAAAGTGAGAGCATTCGAAGAAATCTTAGGAAATTCAGTCAACTGCCCTGTCCAAAGTCCCCCTTTTGAAGAAAGGACTTTCACCCGACTAAGGCGCAGTTGACCGAACTCCAAGTTCCTTCTTTTTGCATCAAACTTCTCATTAGATTAATGGACAAGCGAAGGCGAAGAACAGAGGAAATCGACGTTGATGATAAAAGGAAACGAACACGAAACCCATCGTGCTACCCACAAATAAACATTCTCCTCACACTCGAGAATTCATATTATTACAACTACGTATCGTAATCGGCACCGTAAAATTTTTGCAAGCATTAAATATACATGTACATCATATAGACGTATATCTGCGTTTATGTATATAACGATGATGTCTCAATGGATATTATCCTTGATGAGTCTCGTCGTTTTATCCACTGCTTTCATGAATGAATAATGGATTCATTCAAACCCAGTTCTCAAGAGCAGCTTGACGAGAAGGCTATGTACGGAATCAGAACCTGAGATTCGTCACTGAGAAGATCAGGTATGTACATCTTGACACGATGTGAAGCCGTTGGCTAAAATTAGGTAGATCATGAAACATCACGGTAGGTGAGCAGAGTGGCTTCAGCCGCGTGCGGTTGCGGTGCGTTAACGCCCTCACCCCAAAAGTTGCTGACGCCTTCACCCGCACGACCTGTACAGGACGTTAGGATTTGAGTCAATTACACTTAAAAAAACAAAATTAAATCAAAGGAATACGTAAAAGAGTATAAGATACCAACCAAGCTATCGTTAACAAATGACGGGTGTTGATGCTAGTCTTCTACACCCTCTGGAATTCCCTCTATTGGTGGACTATCATCAATCGATACATGTGGCGATTGTTGGGCTGACAATGCACCGCTAAGTTCGGCGCCATCCAATACGAGGAATTTCAGTATATCCGATAACGATACAATTCCAACAACCTGAAATAAAATGGTTAAATTTTCATAGTTGTCCATCATAGCCCTATAAAACTCCTGCTTCGCTTGCCCAAATCTATTACAAATATGCTAGTTTACTTATTATAATCAATAAAAACATAAGCAACAGCAACGCCATAGAAAGAGCCCATATGTCACAGAAGGACATTAAAAGTTATTTATTTATTTACCTATCTGCTTCTTTTATTTCCCACGTTCAGGGGCGCGAAAAAATAGGAAATTTTGAGAATGTCCGTGCAAAAAGCCCCGGCGCCGTTCTTCCCTATTCTTCAACATCTGCAAGAGCCATCATTCTTCGTGAATACACTGAACACAAACCTTTTTGTCTGCATCAGTCATTATTAATCGATGAACTTCGGCTCGAACTATGGCCTCCACCACAACAAAGAGCGAATCCGTTTCAAGACAGCATTGCACGCCTTCGAACCACTAAATGAATTATTCAATGACTCGAATGATCCCTACGAGCAAAAATATTGTGGATCAATAATAGCAAGAAGACCTAGAAACTGCACTTTGGTTTCACATGTTGTAAGGAAATGAAAAAATTTAAAAGTTTCTCTTTGAAATTTCAAAAAATAAAAAATCTCAACCAACAAAGGAACTAACTTCTAATCGCAAATCAAAATTCAAAAAAGCAAACGGAATATTTTTAAATGATGTTGCTTGGCTCACCTCTGAACGATGTTTTAAAGCCTCTTGAACGGTACAGTCGAGTCGATTGTACGATTTCTCAGCTGCCAAACTGATCACATCGAATTTAGCGTATATATCAACAACCTGAACAACGAGTATGTCACTGGCAATATCCTTCAAAAAATTCAGGAATTCTTCTCAGACATATACAAACTATCAATGTTTTCACTACCGGAAAGAGGAGTGAGGGCTTATAACTGGGTGTTGGACTTATGGAGAAGCACAAATTTCTGCGTCAAGAACATTCTAACATTTTGCTGAAAGAAGGAGCTTCATCCTTAATTAGGACATCCCATAATTCCCACAAAGAAAAAACAGAAGCGCTCACTGTCAGCCGAGCGTTCCTAATGGTATGCATTTCAGCCAGTTGAATGAAAAGGACAGGAGCTTATTAGGAACTATCGGTCATGATATCTCGAAATCACAGCTGGACTACCGAGTTTCAAAAAATCGGAAAAACATGTTCCATCGTAATCATACAGTACACCAACAAGGACGGGCTACTGAAGGGTGTGGGACAGAAGAAACGAAATTATCGCGTCGCGGCGAGATAAACGCCGCGCGCGAAGGAATGTAGAAGAATGCAGCAGCAAGTAAGAAATATAGGAACAAATGGACTAATATTAGAATCATGCCAAAATTAATGATCGCAAAGCGATTGAGCTGTGTGAAGAACGCTAGAACTGTTAAACGAGGCAAGTGGTCCGCGACAGCAGCGTGCGGCGGATCGATTACACAAAACCGTTCCTACTGCACGTCTCCCGCTACTGAACCTTCAACATAAAGCTTAGAAATAAAATGGTAAACATATTGAAAGAACTCACCCGTCCTTGCTCATCCACTAAAGGCAACGCTGAGACCCGATTACGTAGGAAAATATCCAAGGCGTCATGAAGTGGTGTGTCAACGTGGATGGTGACAATATCACCCCATGAACCGATTCCCAACTCTTTCGGAGTGCTCTCCATGAAAGCTGGTCGCGGTAAATCGTGAAGCTGGAAAAAGGGAAGTTAGAATCAAGGTGGGTTCATACTTTTCGCAAAGCTCTTTAATCTCTCAACAACTCACATATAAAGATAGAAATTTGATAAGCCTTTTGTGCGTAATTATATAGCTGATATTCCCTGTATTCTTATCCATCACCGGTAGTCGATGTACTTTCGACTCACAAAGCACTTGTACAGCTCGATACAGGCTAAATCAAATCAAAATTCAAATACAATAAACGAGAAGCTCTGATCGACCAACCGACCAATAACTGATTAACAGATTTGAGAAAATGGATAATAACATGCATTTACCTTTCATTAGGATCGATTGTCACCAATGGCGGTATGCCATCAGCTTCAAATAATTCTCTCCAGCGACTAATCTGCTCTTCCTCCAGCGCTCGCAATTTCTCATCATTGTTACCGGATTCATAATGCCTACAAAAACAATAATAACATTCAAATAACGTGAAGGTCAGCGGACAACCTATTTTGATTGAGCCACGCATGAGACATTCATTCAGAATCACAGAATCATTTGAATGCGCAGCTAAGTAAAAGTAAGCTGTAGCCGAGGGGAAATAACAGTTTTTTGCTTACAGACAGCATGGCATTTATTACTGATGGAGAAAGGGATGAAGAAGTTTTAGAAATAGAGGTACGCTATGGCAACAAAATCAAATATGGACGGAATACCGAAAAAAAGTAAAGCACAGCAAAAGTTGAATACTCAAATTGCCAGAAAAAAAACAGAACGCACTGCAAAAAACCAAAGGCGAAGTGAAGGAGAATGTCCCCGAATGTCAAAAAGCCCGTAGGCTTGTTATGAATCCACCTGACTCAAACGTTAAATATCAACCCGGATTGAGTTATAAGATTTGTAGGGATAGGGTTGTGCTGTGCCCGATATATCTCATATCCTAGCATACCGAATTTAAAGTAGAGTGAAGTCCATTAACTCAAAGGGATACCTCTGTGTAAAAGTATGATAGAAAACGGTAAAAAGGAAAAAAAAGTAAACTGAGAAAGAACTACTTACTTGATAAGGATCTTGATGAAATCAGTGATCGTTAACATTCCGATGAAACGTTGTTTTTCACTGTCCCATAAAGGTGCTGCACGAACTCCGTTGTATACAAGAGCAAAGAACGCTTTCCTTACCTGAAAACGAAGGATAAACATCAAAAACTACGAAGGAAAGTAAAGATATTGGAAAAGAAAATGATAATAAAGAAATTCCTGAGAAAAAAAAAACGAAATTAGGACGAACCGGCAATTGCGTATCGAACACAACCAATTTCGTGGACGTTGGTATCAGGTCGTAACATTTATGTGCCTTCATAAATAATGAGTAGACTGCGTCTTGGCAATCTGAAAAGATCACTGACTAAAATAGAAAATTCGTTTTCCAAAAAATTGGTTCCAGGGTCTTTAGGCCCTCATCCTCATCAAACCCCACCAAAGAATACGGCGTTAATGTCCGCTGCAGCGGAACCGATGGTCATCGAGTCGAATGATTCGAACATAGCCGTCTGGAAATTTAAATGACTTGAATTTAGGTACTACTCACGCTGATCAAGTGCCGAGTGCCATGCTTGGAAGTCAAATATCGGATCGTATAGTGGCGCCCGTGCTATGGGGGAAATACGATTTGGTTGTGCGCTTTGACGTCGTTTCGGCAGCTTCAGAATAATCACCGGAGGCATAGAGGGTCCGGTGGGCTGAACTAGAGCCAAATGGCCATCGACGTCCACATGAAGGTGGTGTCCGACTCGGCTACGGCCGTAGTGACCGGTTGCCGGCAGCGATTTCACCGTATCGTAATTTGTTTGTGTATAGTCATCGTCTTCTTCAACTATGATACTCTCGGCATCACGCGCTCGTGCTGATTTCGACTTCTGTCCAAACAGAGTGCGTCGAAGGGTACCGGTGGCACGAGAGCGAGCCTGTGCTACCCAGTTCGAGGACTTTTTTGCCTTTTTCCGCGGTTGCTGTGATGGCTGCGGTTCGAGAAGTTCGTTTGGTGTTGTCCTGCTTGATTGTGAAACCATTTTCGATAAAAACTGATTGAAAAGGGAAATGCAGGGAAGTCAAGTGACGAAGAGTAAGACGTCAGATGCGTTTATAGGAATACACAGAGAGCAGTCAGTGTCGACCAATTCAAGTAGTTGCAGATGCAGAGACGAACATATGACTCATCTTCCGAAATCAAAGCCCGATTCGCTTGGCCAACTGACAGAAAAGGAGAAGAGCTGAAAGTCGCCAAGTTAGAACACATCCCAGGCGAAGAATCGTGACGATACGGAACGCGGTGTAAAATCAATCGGTCATGGCAAACGGGTGTGGTGCAGTAGGAACGAAACTGTCGCGTCGCAGTGAAATAGACGCCGCGCGCGAAGGAATGTAGCAGAATGCAGCAGCAAGTAAGAAATGCAAGAGCAAAAGAAATAACAATAGAATCATACCTAAAGTAATAATCGCATGGCGATTGAGTTGCATGAAAAAGGCTAAAACTGTTGTAAGGAGGCAAATTGTCCGCGACAGCCGCGTGCGGCGGATCGATTACACAAAAGCGTCCCTACTGCCCGTCTCCCATGGCAAACAGACGAGAATATTTGACAATCGGTCATTGACAACACCAGTGGGTAAGCAGGACTAATAGTACGATCACATCATTTCGGATAACCCCTCTGTTTTTTTCCAGTAACTACAAATAGCATATGTCATGATTTTCGAAAAGAGTATGGAGTGGTAATGAATGGTAATGCTATCAGTAATAAATGGTAGGGACTGGAATTGATTTTGCAGAGAAACGACTAGACAGGTGAGTGAAACCAACAGGTGAATAGCTAGTAGCAGTAAATAGCATGAAGCTGTAAATAAGCACAACCACCATCCTGTCTCAATCTTTCCGTCAGAAAAACTCCAACTGGTGACTCATAACAATCTATCACAAGTACTAACTGCTTGATTCTCCACCGAATGGGGTTAGGAAACCATTCCACAAATCCAAAATAAACCTGCAAATCTACCAAGAAGCCTGTCGTAGTGAGAATAGGCCTCAACTGGAAACGATTGGCGACATTGCGATGGTACATAACCCAAATTAAAAGCCTATAGGAAAATGGGAGCACTGCACCCAGTTATCAGAGAACAAGTTATGGCACAGTCCCTACAGCTCGATATGGCGGTGTGCGCCTGTTATGATACCGTACAACCATAAAAGGCTACCATGTGATCAAATTCCTTGACAAGGCGGCCCATATAAAGCTTATGGAAAACATGTGTTTACTATTCAAAGAGACGGATCACATGGCTGCAGGGGATACGTGAAAAACCTAATCAAAACATGGGAATCGGAATATTCCTACCAGCGATTCTTACAAGTACCCAACCAAAGGCTCAGTAATTAATAACTGAATAACCGTGATGAACATGACCACCCCCGAAGAAAAATCAGTTGAAAACTGAACTTTCATGAGGACTGACTGAAAAGTTAAACAACACACTATACAGACGTCATAAAAATGCTCTCTACAAACACTAGAGCTTTTCGCAAACCTATGGGAGCCGCAAAATAAATGTTTGCCTTGACTTCGTAGAGAAAAAAGGTAAGGATGACGTTTTTGAAGAACGCTTTCGCTCAAAAGTTAAGCTACAGGGATTTTCCGATTTTTTTCTATATTATTTATTTCCAGAGCATCAGAAATCGGCACCCACGCTGCAAACAATTATTTTCTCCATGGCTTCCATTAAAATCTCATGTAACAAACAGAAATAGGATCCTCTCGAGCGCAAGATCTCTGCTACGACAAACAGTGGAATCTTTTCGTATTTTCGACCCGAAAAATGGATAGTTAAAAAGGAGCAGCAATTTAAATTTAGCGATTTTCCAAGGCAGACAGGAGAAAAATGTCATCAGACATTCTAACAACTTAATTTAATTACTTTACATAGTTCGCTGTGTGTTCATTGGTGCCAAGCTTTTTTCTTTGCTCTAGACTAGTTTTGTTGAGGGTTTCAATTTATCAGGAATGCAGACGACAGAAAGAGCATATTGGCGATTGATAGCGGAAAATGCTAGCAATTAGTGTCGGCTGATAAGAGATGTTAAAAAACAGCCGTCACTTACACCTCGGCTCAGATAAATGGCAAAAGTGATAGATTGAGGGCATTGACAATGAGCAGTGACCAAAGATGAGAACTGCAGATAACAATGGTAAGGACTGGCAAAATTGGTCGTGACGTTCCCTCCTTGACCGCTCCCAAGTAAAATCTCGACCAGAAATATATACCAATGAAGATTGGAATGGCGATGACAGTTAGCACTAAGGGCTGAGTGGTGCAGGCGCAAGTGGCGCACAATCACACATGCATAGTCACGGGTTCGACTTCCGGATCGCATCCGCCTAGTGCCAACCGAGCCATCCATCACTCCGGGGTCGGCTAACTGGTGCAATACTCGTCGGAAGGACAAAAGCTGTACATCGGCTGGCTACCGCTAGTCATTGTATAGGTCATATACGCATTCAAACCGCCCCGAGAATTCTGAACGGGAGTCAAATGCGAAGGCGAATTCCTCAGACGGGATCGATACCAGCCAAAAGACTTCGAAAATAGTAGCTAAAATTTGTCAATTACATTAGTAAGATTCCGATCCAGGATTTTTTCTGAATGACATCGGGTAATCTAGCAGTTAACTCAACTATAAAAGACAGAGACGTCTACGAATCGTTTAGCAGAAGGCGGCCCTTATTGTCAAAACAACTAAAATCTATTAATCGGTCGAACAGCCCTGTTTACGTCAAACAGTCTGACTGATAAACAGTTTTCAATAATTTTGACATTTGTATGTTTTTTTTTCAAGATGAGATCTGCTAACGCCAAGTAATCTACCTTTTCAATTTCATTTTTCGAGCTACTCAAAATTTCAAAATTCGTCCATTACTTTCGTTCCGATTTCATGAACTACTTTCCCAGTAATGGTGGGTCTCCATTATTTTCACCAATTATGGGGACCTTTCTCATAAGCAGTTTCGCGGTTTCTATTATAGTTACATAAGAATATCCTCACAACCAACCCTGAATTGGCTCTATGACCATCTCCTGAAGCCGCAACAAAAGATTAACAAGCGCGAGATGCGAACAATAACTATGATTCCCATAACTGGTAAAAAGGAAAGTGCTATTCCACAGCTGAAAAAGTGCGTGATAGCAACACACTAAAGTGACGAACGGGAAGCGAAATTTTAGCAGACAGAAATGTCGAATCTTTGTGCTGGAAATATCAATGCCTGGCGGTACCTGGCACTCCGACTAGTCGCAAAAAGGAAAGGAGCATGGCGTTAGGAAGAGGGTCCGACTAGTTACTAAATCACCTGATAAATGACTTCTATAAACCGTCACTACCACATGGCATAATGTTGACAAACCACTCGAAACAAATTATGCAAGTGTCGCACAACCTTCAGTGGGGTAACACTAAACACAACCGAACAAAGTCGAACAAATAGAAGGAAACGAACGACAGGCACGTACGTGACCTGTGAAAATCACTTTAGCAAACACAAACCGACGAACCTATCCCATGCTGCCACCTTCAAAATCGTTTTTGCATAAACAATTCCACTCTGTGGGCACCGAAACTCCCCCTTACAAGAAGATCTACACCGGAAAAAGCCTCCAGATTACAACCCCACTACGACTTCAAACCAATAGGCCTGTAGTAAAATTGTTGGATAAATAAATATATATTGGCGGTCCCCGTCACCCCAGTGGGCTGCAAGCTGCAAACGTGAACTTCGAAGGAGAAGTAGCAGAAAGCTGGAAGAGACGGGAGAGGCAACAAAGAGGCCCTTTGAAGGAGGAGCCTGACGGAAAGAAAGTGGAGGCGGCTAAAGGGAGACGATGGGTGAAAAAACGGGCAAGGAGAAGAGTTGGACGATTAGGAGAAGCATAGAAAACGACTGTAAAAACACGACAAGCTATAAATGGAACAGAAGAGATACATGAGTGAACGAAGCAAGTGAAGTAATGGGCTTACCTACAAATCGGGCTAAAAGAAATGGGAAAATCGCCCTGATATGTCAAAAGTTTGGCTTTTCTTCTCCTCGACGGGGAACCTACCAATGAAGGCTACGCAACGCCCCAGGAATCCGTCAGAACTCTTTGAATGGCATGTAAATTTGTATCCTCCACTATATGTCAACTTGTGCAATGCCCCATTCAATGCAATTTCGATTACGATAACTCAAAAGGTACTTGCATTCCAAATAAGCTCAAATATAATGGCAATTTCCAATTGAAGTGCGTTAATAGTTATCATACAACCATTTCTCAAATCGATTCCAAGCATTATTTGTCCTGAGGGACGAATTTTCCGTTTTAAGTTTTTCAGAACACCTCTACATTCACGAAGGGTGGTATTAGCCAGGACTGCTAGGACATTTCGATCATTCTGAGAACATAGGATAGCTAAATTGAAACAATTTGAGAAATTGAAACGCAGTTATGAACAAGTCATGAAGAGTGGTACCGTTGGTGCCGTTTTCCACAACGAATTCATGACAGCGCTCCTATTTGCCGAATTGTTTTCTTTCAAACTTCCCAAGCCTAGGCCGAACCAATCGAGAAGATGACAAGTTCAAAAAGCCAAAAGTCCACCGTCGTTACTTCAGTAATTGGGAAGATGTAATCGAGGAACGCCAAGTAACATGCACTGATATTTTAATTCAATCAACATGAAAGCGGTGGAAGAGGAAGGAAGAATCAACTGAGAAGGACGTTCTGAGACAGACTCTGCGCCACGACAATAATTTGCATTTTTATTAGTGAAGAAATTTGCATAGGTATTTGGTCGGCCCATGGCCGGCCCATACATGGAATTAAGAGAGCTCCTATGAGCAGCAGATGGATGAAAATATCTGCGGTGAAACTCAATCCTACATAGAAAGGGAAGAAGATGAGATCTTGGCAACCGATAATCTACTCGGGATAAGCCTAGATTTCGCACAGTATGAAAAGCCGCTTAGCCCTACTAGGATGATGAGTC